ATCAGTCATCTACAAATGGAATGGCGTCAAGTTCAACAAGTTCCAGGAGATAGCAACTGAAGGTGCCATGGGATGTACGGCATTTGAAATAAACAATGTCACTTACATCGCTTTCGCCAACTATTACAACTCTCAACAGAAGCATTCTGTTCAGTCCACTGTCTTCAAATGGTCAGGAGGACACTTTGTCAAACTACAGTCTCTTCAAACTTATGGTGCATATGACGTTAAGTCTGTTAATATCAATGGTCACACATTCCTCGCTTTTGCCTGCTACTACTCTGGAAGTTCCTACAACACTGACTCGTTTATTTATAAATGGGATGGTACCAAGTTCGTTCTTTTCCAGTCTATTCCTACTCGTGGAGCCCTCGCTTGCCATCCTTTCGTGATCAGCTCTCATACCTTCTTAGGTGTGGCCAATCATTACGACAGCAGCCAGAAATACAACACACAGTCAGCTGTGTACCAGGCCGCTGGAGCAAAGTTCATCGAGTACCAAGAGATTTCCACCCACGGAGCGTTTGATATGACATCATTTGAGTACAAAGGTCATACTTATCTGGCTATGGCAAACTACTACAATCAGAAGTACAACATAAACAGCGCTTTATACAAGTGGATGTAGAAATAGGGACACAAGACGAAAAGCGTAATGACCAAGAGTCTTAGCTGCTTTATGCATTGGTGTAGTGATAGTATTTGCTCAAAAATCGAAGAAAACGGTTCAGATTTAGGGATAGTCAAAATTGATATCTTTGATAAATGAGTGTTTATCAGCCCCTTTAAGAGTGAAATCTACAATAAAGCTGTGCTTTGAACATGATACTAAAGTCTGGTTTCTTTCTAATTTTGTGTGAGTAAATACCTTTCACTTTCATTGATAAAAGTTGATCCCAAGAACAGTACTATCAGATACGTTCAATATTCTTAAATGGACTAAAATACCCTCAGCTCATCTGTTCTGTGTGTGTTTTGTCACAGAATTCACATCTCCTCCCACCTCCACCCCCTTATGAATTCTTTACAGAGAAGAAGAGATCAGGGGTGATATTTCCATTCAATTCAGATTTTTTGTTGATCCAAGAATGTTGATAATGGTTGGTACTATAATTCTAAGTAAGAAAATATCTTCGAAATTTTAAATTTCAGACAGCTCATAACATTCTTTGCTCTCAACGCTCTGTTGACTTTGACAAAAGCATAAATGTAATATTACAATTCTCGTCAAGGGTTACTGCTCATATCATTTGCCAGAAACATTCTTTCTTTTTGTTTTTAACAGCCTTAGAAATGAGCTTGGTGACACAACTTTTTAGATTGAGCAAAGTGAGGAAGGAGGCGAAGTCCAGAGTAAGGAGTGAGGAAATTTTAGGAAATTTTTCAAAATAGTTTGTATTGTTTCTTCCATACAACGTAAACATGCCCAATTATTTCCGGCTCAATAAATCGTGATCATTTTCATGACAATAGGTTGCCATAACAACATCATGCTTTGAAATGCCACAAAACATCCGCTTTATCAGTTTAAAGGCTGGAAAATTTTTGCGTACAAATATTCCATTCTCTTTTAAGGAGACACCTGCACACCTAAACAATCCCATGAATCTCTAATCAAAATAAGTCGGAGATCCTATCGTCTGATTTTCTGAATATCCTGTTGCTGCAAATTCATTTATCTTTTACAATACAAAAAAGTGTTGAACATTATATTATGCGATGTTAACAATTGGTATAAATGATCACTTTTGAGATGAAGTACTAGAAAATTGAAATATCTAAAAGAATGTAGTGATATTACTTTCAATAGATTTCACGCTTCTTAATAGTACCAGGACCAGGTGTGTACCAAGCTTATGGAGAGCCCTTTCTCCCCCCTTCCTCCCCTCCTTTCACTCCCCTGAGCACGTGGATGAAGAGCACTGTAGGAATCACCTTACCCCTCAAAGACCAGAAAATTGCCGACTTCCTACGAAAGGAGCCTCGTACCCTCAGCTTGAAAGTTTTACCCGACTATAGTAACCGGTCCTCATAGACAATTACACCTCAGAATGTTCACAAATTACGAAAAAAAAAGCCTTCCATAGTGAATCAACAACGCCTTGAAAACAAATTTAAATGTAAGAGATGTGATGCATATTATACAGGCGATACAACTTATTTACTATGCATAAAAAACAACAGAAGAGGGCCATCTCGCGTAGCTGAGGGCTTTTCTTGTGTGCTAGAGTGACGAGGCTTGAGACGGTGGCTGGTTGTCTATTCACAAGATGAAAAATTCCCTTTGAAAATTGAAAAAGTGTCTCCCCTTCGGAATGCTTTCCTTGAAATTAGCGTAAATTGACTACAGCTGTAACGAGATGGAAATGAGGAAGGTGGAAAAAAAGACACAGAAAGCTTTTTCGTCACCAAATATGTGTTGAGAGAGGCGTTAGAGTTTGTCAAAGAAAGATTTAGAGCAGGCCATGATGCATTTGTTTAATCAAGCGTTGCGGTAAGCGGAAAAATGTTTGAGCCATTCTTTGCAAGGGCTTCGGCAATAGTATTACTGTTTTTACGATCTTATTATTTCTGGCGAGGAAGGAAGTGAATTCAAGGAAGGTTTCTGGAGGGTGGCAAAGGTGGGGTTCCAATCACAGCACGCCGAATTTTTCTATCGAATCACGCATCACGGGCAATTTTTTTTAACCAATCACGCGTCACATAAAAAGAAGTAAGTACACTAAGCTAACACTGTAAGATTTCAACCTATCGGATGTATTATTGAAAATTATATTGCATCCAACGATTTTATCCCGGAATGAACTGCGTTTTACTTGTCAGGTTGCTTTTTGCTAGGCAAATAAAGATGATTTACTTGTTGAAACTAGACAACCAGGCGGTCGACAAAAAGAACACTGAAGATCATAGTCCTTGGGCAAATGTTAGCTACATTAACTTATGCATATTGTGTTACGATTGTGTGGACCTACCAGGAAGATCAAAGACATCAAAGGTCAGGCGAAGGTCAGCAAAGGACGGAAAAGACCAGAAAACGGTTTATTGATCTTTGTTAAGACTCTATTTACATTGAATAATTGGTTTCCTCTTGGTCAAAGAGCGTTCACTATCACGGAAATCTAATTAGTAAGTCTTGTAAATCACGAGTCACGCACTTGTAAAATGGAAAATCACGCATCAAGTTGTGACGTCCTATCCCGCGTCACGCGGATAATTTAGGTTCAATCACGCGTCATCCGGCAAATTTTGGGGCCATCACGCGTCACGCAAAAACCCTTTGCCACCCTCTTTCTGATCGCCTCCTGGTTGATAAGTAATCGAATGACAGGGTACTGTCACCTGCGGCAAGAAGGGACACACTTAAAGTCATTGATTGACACAGAATAACTGGCGCCATTCTCACTTGAGGAATGGGGAAGCGCTTTCCTGAAACTGAAAAATTTCTTGGCCACCGAATTCTTCCCTGGGCTAGGTTGGGTACTACACTCTGGCGAAGAAGCAGAAGATGGCAAAAGCCATCAGTAGCTTGAAATATTTTGAATCAGCAAGCGCGGCGAACCAATCAAAGTGGTTTCTGAGCCCTTCGGGAGACTCCAATTTATCTTATGGAAAAATCGCAGCAACACAATCTGCAGTTATCATTTGCATTGTTCCCTTGTAAATGTCTCTCTCGCTTGACAGGCTTTCTGTTTATCTTTACTCTTTGCCATCGATAGTCTTTAACCGCCTCCTTGATTTTTTCATTGCAAAATGAATGAACTCTTTGAAAGAGAGTCCATTTGAGTGCTTATTGAACGCTCTCCTAGCTGTATTTAAAAGTTATCACTGATTATAAACATGCACCAGGACCGTGCGACCACAACAAGCATGGCTTACCTTGTTTTTCACTCAGCCTTGTTTGCATCCTGAGTACGTGTCACTTTATGGTGCTCGTTGCATCTGCTTTCTGGATTCCTTGTACTCCTTCCGTTTATTTTCTCAACAAATATAAATTTAGACAGAAGGTTTTAAATGTTAACAAACATTTACTTTAGTGTCAAATGTATTTAGGTACGAGCTATTTGGGGACACTACACATAGCCGGCATAGAATTTAGCTGACAATTAAACATTGAAAAAAATTAATAAAGAGCCTTACACCAACTACACAGTTTAATCTCACATTTACAATCTAAAATGTACAATCTATGATCTGAATCCAAAATATAATATCACTATTTATAGAGGTAGCAACACCTACTATTATGATTTAAAATACTACTGATATTTAGTTTTCTTATGGTGTTTTGAGAGGACTGAAGGTTAAATAATTATTTGCCTTGCTAGTTGTGTAGCCTGTTCTATAGTGCGGGTCTGTAGTAAAGTATTTTTGCCGTAAGTTAATGTGTTTCAAAAATCGATGTAAATTAAAATCTTTGTTATAAATAATAACTTGAACTACTTAAAATAGTCTAAGCTATTATTCGCACCTATTATCTACAAATCTCTATCCAGCTGCAAGGGATGTTGACCTTCAGCTTGAAGGAAAACGAGTAACCAATCATTCTGTCAGGAAAACCTGTATTTAAAGGCTCATATCATCCATTAAATTTTTGAAAAATTCCTTATAATGATGTAAAGCGAGCTGAATTCTTACTATGGACACCTTTCCTTCCCCAGATCAAAATGTTTTTTTTTTACTGCATTTCTTTGTGAGAATTTACTTAAAGACCAAACAACTCGTCTTCACTGATAAGGGTCTAAATTCTCCTTAACAGATCACTGTGCAAGATAACGATGTTTTAAGGAGACATAAGAAGTTCATCGTAGTCGGTCAGTTAGCATATCATAATCCATAAACTACAAATTCTCATTGTGCATTGTAAACACTATTCATAACACAAGCCCTTGGACATCCTGAATTTTCCTGTTGTGGGGCAAAATAAACAGAGTTTGAAAGTTGTTCCCTGTATTTTGACTGATTCGTCTGCCATTTCATATCGGAGGGCGCTGAGAGTGAAAATGTTTCGCTTATTCTTTGTGTTGGCTCTTGCCTTTTTGTTGAGTTCCTTCGCAAAATCAAAGAACAAATGTGCTAATCAGGTAACCAAATTGATAACAAGGTTTAACCTAATTGTAGTCGAATCGGAATTAGAGTGCAAGTGAGAATTTTTTAGTTTTGCTCGAGCGTGTAATTTCCCAAGTGACCCCTTTGATTTTATAACTTATGGGTACGCTTTTCGTTTTTATTTAAATTTTTTTATTTAACTAAAAAAACAGAGTCGTGGAACAGCGGCAAGATCAAACTGCAGTGCTTCACAAGCTGGATACTGTAAAGATGGTGGGTAAATAATAAAAATACGTCAATACTTGTTACGAGCATGTAGTTATTTGCATATGCTCTGCCTATGGGCGAGAAAGCAAAAAATTCGAGTTTCTTCACTGATGTCTGGTTTCTGTTAATTTCTGGACAGGAAAAGACGGAAAAGATGGACAAAACGGTGGGTGTATGAAAGTTACTTTCTGGTGCATTCATCGAGTTATTAACTTAAAAATGAATAACATTTCACCAAAAAAATGAACGGTTTATCTACCTACCTAAAATAAGAAAATTGATTTGCTTTTTTACGCCAGGAAAAGATGGACGCGATGGAATAAACGGTGATGTAGTTATTTGTTTAAGTGAATTTTTTTATTTAGATTGGAAATATTTTGAGCATGAATTCCTTCACAAACAAAGTGGTAGGGACTAGTTATGATTAATTTTCTGGTGGGGGGATGGTGGAGGACTTTGGGGGGGATGACATGGTTTTAAGGGGGTATAGATGGGGGATCAGTCGTCGCCAACAGAATGTCAAGGGGGGACCATAGCAAAATGATTGCCAACCAGCTGCCAGTGGACGGTGGGGTAGGGAGTCGTAAGAATATCAAAGAGCCTTCGAGGAGCATCAGGTAAATTTTATCGTGACACAATCAAAATCCTCGGGCTGACTCACTGACTAGTCCTTTGTTGGAATTTAACGAGGAAAAAAAAACTTGTGTCAAGTTAATATCACAACGAGTTTGAATGACTGAAAATTACCGTGAATAATACATTTGTTGGGAAACGAAGGTGTAACACGTGAAACCTTTTACAAAGTTAAAACAAAAGAAGTATTACGTAGAAGATGTAATTTTTTAAGAAGTGACTTTTGTTGCTGTTTTTGTTTATCTGTGTTTTCACATTTTGTACTGATTACCAATATTTCAACATAGGACGAGATGGGAAAGTTGGAGCAAAGGTTATGTATTTTTAAAACGAAAATGTAACCATTGTTAAAAAAAATGACTTTGAAATGAATTTGAAGAATACAAATGTGTTGAATTGTATATGACGTAACTCTCCTTGTTAGTCGTGTATTCACAAGTACATTAATCAAACTGTTGTCATGAGATTACTGTTGTCGAGAGATTATTCCGATTCATTTTAAATTATTCAGGGAGAGAAAGGTGAACCAGGCATGCCTGGTGTGAATGTAAATGCTAGCATCAAGGCTGGTAAAATTTATATTCAGCATATTTAATTTAAACTTTATACTGTCAAATGCAAAAAGTTAAGTGATTTTCTAGCTAATTTTTCTTTGGCTTTGATCTAATTGACACGTCAACTGTTACCAATTATTTATTTGGAATATTTAAATCGTGATTACTGTAGGTATCCCAGCCAAGAAGATTCATTTATAGAATTAGGTTTTGGCAAGGGAGAACAATTCATCATTCCGAACTGTAAGAGTTCTCTTGCTTCTTAATTTTCCCGTATTGGAGATTTACCTGACTGTCAATGAATGCAATGAAGTACGTTGCTAATACGTTAAATTTTGATTTCTTTAGGGGGAGAGGGGTGAACCAGGACAAAAGGGAGAGAATGGTAGTTCTAGTTCCAAAGTTTCTGAGTCTCAATTATTCAGTTAAACTAGGACCTGAAAAAAAAAGAAAAAAAAAAACTACGATAACAGTAGGACTAGGAACCCCTGATAGAACCTGGTAGGGATTGGTCATTATTCGGGGGGGGGGGGGGGGGGGGGGGGGCCACGGCTTCTTTCTCAAGTAAGTTTTCATGAGGTGTATATTCTTTCGTCCAACGCAGCTTAAAAGATAAACTTGAAAAACATTAACTTCTCAAAGTTGTTTATTGACGAATGGCGAAACAAGTTCTCTCATTCAAGTCCATCCCATACAACCTTTTTTATTAGCTTGCTTTTTCATCGAGGGCGAGAAAGGATCTGTTGGACAGAAAGGATCACAAGGACAAAAGGGACAGAAAGGAATGCCGGGAACATGTGATGACCTGGTATGGAAAGATATGATGGATAGAAATCATTACCTAAAAGTGTAACAGTCCTTATGTACTTCTAAAGTAATGACATATTATAACAAGTAATTTACTACTTTTTCTTTCATTATTGTTATTATTTTTGATGTTCTTTGACATGCAGCAGCATGAAATGATGATAAATGATAACGAGGTTTTCAATAATTTTGGCAGAGCTCCTCGTCATCCTCCGGGAAAAGAAGGTGTTGTAAAGATGGTAGGAATAAATTTTCACTTGTTTTTGTGGCTACTGTCTCCTATAGGCGGCGAGGCCGCATATGTCGTTAAAATGAGTGAGTGAGTGATGGTAACAATAGAATTCTAATCTTGATACAATTTTTACCCGATGTTCACTGTGCTACATGTTATTTGTTCCGGAGTTCTATAGATGACTATAAACATCTCACAATAATTTCCGGATTGCGCATGAAAAAACAGAGCCTTTTTTTAAAAGAAATACCTCATAAGGTGTGATCGGCGCATCATGAAAACCTAGAGGAAAACCTTTTTTCTTTGAAGGGGGAGTATTTTACCGTGTGAATCAGCGAATGATGCCCAGTAGATCGGAAGATACTCTTTTTTTTTGTTCTTGCCGTTACACTACAAAAGGTGATAAACATCTCAAAATAATTTTGTAGTGGCCTCACTATTAAAAACAAGGCTTTTGCTTGCAGAATAGCTTTGATCTGCACATCGTGGAAACTTTCGAGAAAAAATATTGATTTATTCAAAGAGAGAGCATTTTAACATTTTAATCAGTGACTAATGCGCCAATGAACCGCTAAATTCGCGAAGCAAGCAAGGTCTGAAATACCATACCTTGTGTTTAACAGAGTGACCCTATTCAAAGGAATGATAGAACGATAGAATGATAGATTGGTGGAATGGCGAATTGGAGGAATGGCGAAATGGCGGAATATCCCACAACGCAGAATGCCTTGTTGTGTGAAAAGAAAGTCTCACAAAAATGGAATTGCAATGGAATTAGAAAAAAAGTTATAATTTACAAGCGAAATGAAAAGAAGCATAGTGTAATCATTATTGGACCTATAGGAGAGACCGATAGAGGAACGGAGGAACGGTGTGGTTCTTCAACCAGCTCCTAAAAAACATTAATACCTTCACTATTGTTATCATTATTATTATTGATATGATGGTATGATTATTTGTCACCAAGTTATCATTGGTTAAGTATCAGTTAGTCGCTATATTCTTAAATCATCTCTCTCTTGTGTAACAGGATATTCATAAATGTGAGATGCGGCAAGTTTTCTGCACTGTATGTGAGACAAATCTTCTACAACACAACCTTTCGGCATCATTATACAATATTCACTTCTTTTCAGTACTATAAAAATTGTGGTATATCAGTAACCACATACAGTCTTAAACTATTCACTTCTTTGACGATTGCCGTTCAAGTGCACGGTAAACGCCCCTTTCAAATTTAATGCTAACTGAAGGCATAGTTCGTTGGAATAAGTTTTTTACTTGTTTTGTTTTAATGATAAATGTTTTTAAGTGCACAGTAAAACACCCCCAGATCAAGGCGCAAACTACGTCGTACTGAAAAATAATCAAATTTGGACGGATAAAACGCTAAATTTGGTCTATTCCTTTGATAGTGGTGTGATAAGGTTGCAAGCCTATGAAACAGTTCTAATATTTCAAGAGCTTTTTCAATGAAATAAAGGTCAGTTAAAGAAATTATGCTGAAAAAACTTATTACTATTTAGAAGGCACAAACTATATTTATTGAAGAATACATCAATTTGGATAGACAAAACGCCAAATTGGCCGACCACTGCGATAGCGATGTGATATTCTGTACGAAAAGATTCTGAAGGTTGCAAGCCTAGGAAACGGTTCTAATATTTCAGGAGCTTTTTCAGCGAAATAAAGGTCAGTTGAAGAAATTATGCTGAAGAAACTCATTACCATTTCGAGAACTTAGTTTTAATTTCTTTCATAAAATCGCACTACGAAGATTGCAGCAAAATCAAAGACGGCAATATCGAGCCATATACATCAGCCACTAGCTAATTTTTTGCTCGTGGTATGCTATTTCTGTTTAATCAATATTTTTTGGATTGCCTCTGCTTAAATTAAAGCTTTTAGGGAATTTTCATTATGATTTACAAAAAGTGCTAAAAAATGCCTTCCAAAACGTACGAATAATGAAATGAAAGCTGATGACAGGAGACAGAATTGCCGTAAGTTTCGAGTGGACATTTATACTTTGTTTTTATACTTTATACTTTGGTTTTCGTTTCAATTTAAACAAGATTTTCGACAAACTTCTGAGTGAAGGTCCTTTTTCATGCTTCAGTTCTATATAGTTTAACGGTACAATAGACAATAGATTTTGAACCAATCAGAGCGCCCGTTGTGTTTCAAATATGTTAAGATCGGCCAATCCCTCTATTCGCAGAAATGAACCCATTAAACACAGATTTCGCACTAGTCCGAGATGCTCAGCCCCCTTACATTTCCCGAAGCAAATGTTAACAACATTGTGCATACAATCGGGCGACGAATGGGAAAGGGGAAGGGGTAAAAATAAGTCCGGTATGTGGATTTTTCTTGAGCCAAGAATAAAACCTGGGAGATAACACCACCAAGAACAAAACCTGGGAAATAACACCTTGCACAATGCGATGAGTTCCACCTTTTGAGACACTTTTAGTCAATTTGAAGAGGCTTGACGCATCTTCTTTGATGGATGTATTTTACTACAGTTAGTCATGTGATCTCTTGAAAATGGCGTCAAAAAATGACCAATCATTTATAGAAGTTTTAATAATCAGCTATTCATTTTTATGACATTAAATAGCGAGAATACGGACCTTTAGAAACACCCTTAATTTGAGCTTAATGGGCCTGCAGCGAAAAGACGGGTTCGGCAACCCTCAAAGTTTATCATTAAATTGCAATCAGTACAGTTTCTCAATATTCATCCTTCTCAAAAAATCTTTACATGCGATTCTATTCAAGTCGTTCTGTTCCCTATTTAACTTTGAATAAGAATCTATGTTCTGATATGCTGACTGCAATACAGTATTAGTGATAGAGAGTTAAGTGTTTCAAAGGATGGAATGTTGCTTTAGTAGCATTAGTTTTTGTAGAAAGAATTGTTGAATAACAGTTTCGCATGTTTCGCGAATAACCAGAAACAACGAATGAGAGGTAAACTCTGTTAATCATTTGTTTTGTTTTAATCAAAGAATGTGCCACTGGTTTCCACTTCTTCGAGAAAATTCAAGACTTACCAACCAGAGGAGCTACAGTTGTTCAACATTTTATCATTAATGGAAGTCTGTTCCTCACCTTTGGCAACTCTAGAGGAGATATCCACAAAATCAAGACAAGCTCCGTGGTTTACAATATGGATGAATCGACTGAAAAGTTCACATTGTACCGGACCCTGCCAATTAAAAGTGTATGTGGCCTTGAGCACATTTCTATCTCTGATAAACACTTCCTAGCTGTGGCTTATCAACGGGTTGGTACGCACCAACTTGACTCTCTAGTCTTTCAGTGGAATGGACAGCAGTTTGTGGTATTTCGGAAATTACAAACAAAAGGAGCTGCATTAAATAGAGAAAAATATCTCACAGTGGCAAACTATCATGATGGAGGTACCTACTCAACAAAATCAGTCATCTACCTATGGAATGGCGTCAAGTTCAACAAGTTCCAGGAGATAGCAACTAAAGGAGCTAGAGGATGTGCGGCATTTGGAATAAACAATGTCACTAACATCGCTTTCGCCAACTATTACAACTCTCAACAGAAGTTTTCTGTTCTGTCCACTGTCTTTATGTGGTCAGGAGGACACTTTGTCAAACTACAGTCTCTTCAAACTTACGGAGCATATGACGTGAAGTCTGTTAATAACAATGGCCACACATTCCTCTCTTTTGCCTGCTTCTACTCTGGAAGCTCCTACAACATTGACTCGTTTATTTATAAATAGGATGGTACCAAGTTCGTTCTTTTCCAGTCTATTCCCACTCGTGGAGCCCTCGCTTGCCATCCTTTCGTGATCAGCTGTCATACCTTCTTAGGTATGGCCAATTACTAAGTCTGTTAAGTCTGTTAATATCAATAGTCACACATTCCTCGCTTTTGCCTGCTACTACTCTAGAAGTTCCTAAAACACCGACTCGTTTATTTATAAATGGGATGGTACCAAATTCGTTCTTTTCCAATCCATTCTTACTCGCGGAGCCGTTGCTTTGTATTCATTCGTGATCAGCGGTCATACCTACTTGGGTATGGACAATCACTACGACAGCAGCGTTAAATATAACACTCAGTCAGTTGTGTACCAGGCTTCCGGAGTACAGTTCATCAAGTATCAAGAGGTTTCCACCCATGGAGCTCATGATATGACATCATTTGAGTACAAAGGTCACACTTATCTGGCAGTGGCAAACCACTACAATCAGAATTACAACATAAACAGCGCTTTGTATAAGTGTGTGTAGAAATAGGGACAAAAGACGAAAAGTGTATTGACCAAGAGTCGTAGCTGCTCATGCATTGGTGTAGTGATAGTATTTGCTCAATAATCGATGAAAAAGGTTCAGATTTAGGGATTGTTTGTCAAAATTAAATATCTTTGATAAATGAGTGTTTATCAGCCTTTTTAAGAGTGAAATTAGTAATAAAGCTGTGCATTGAACATGATACTAACGTCTGGTTTCTTTCTATTTTTGTTTGAGTAATAAGCTTTCTCTTTTATTGATAAAACTTGATCCCAAGAACAGTATCATCAGATGCATTCAACATTCTTAAGTGGACTAAAATACCCTCAGCTCACCTGTTGTGTGTGCGTGTTTTCACAGAAATCACACCTCCCTCCACCCCCTAATGAATTCTTTACAGAAACGAAGAGATCAGGGGTGATATTTCCATTCAATTCAGATTTTTTGTGGATCCGAGAATGTTGATAATGGTTGGTACTACAACTGTAAGTAAGAAAACATCTTCGCATATTAAAAATTTTAGGAAGCTTATAACATTCTTCGCTATCAACGCTCTGTTGACTTTGACAAGAGCATGAATGTAATATTACAATTGTTACATAGTTTATGGTCTCCCTTCTCAGCAAGGGTTACATTCATTCTTTTTGCTTTCAACAGTCATAGAAATTAGCTCGGAGGAAAATTTTGAGCAAAGTCAGGAAGGAGGCGAATTCCAGACCAAAGAGTTAGGTAGTTTTGTAAAAAATTTTCAACTTGTTTTTGAAGCTCTGTGTAGAGATTTCGGGAGTTTTGGGAAATTTTTACAATAGCTTACCTTTTCGAAAGCAAATAACAAAAAAGAAAAGAAAAAGAAGACAAGAGCGTTTACGAACTTGTTTTTGAAGCTATGTGAGTTAACAAAATGGAATTTTTATGTAAGAAAAAAGTTCAACTGACTAAGGATGAACTTTTGAATACCTCAGGGAGCACGCACAGGTTTCTTTAATTTCAGAATTAAACTCTTTGATGGCTCTGAGCTTCCGACATGATGGAACTTTTCTGTCTGTTTCTTTAGTACAATGTAAAAATGCCAGATCGTGATCATTTTCATGACATCGGGTTACCTAACAACACCACAGCCTTGAAATAGCCACAAAACATCCGCTTTATCAGTTTAAAGGCTGGAAAATTTGTTCGAACATCCCATTCTCTTTTAAGGAGACATCCTAACACATAGACAAACCCACGAATCTCTAACTGAAATAAGTCAGAGATACTATCGTCTGATTTAATGAAATTCCTGTTGCTATTTATTCGCTCATCTTTTACAATAAAAAGAGTGTTTAATGGTATATTATGGTATCATGGTAGAAGACCGACCAAGGAACTTTACCAGGTTATCAAAGCCATGTTAAAAATTGGTATAAATGATCACTTTTGAGATGAAGTTCTAGAAATTGAAACATTTAACACTTTTTAACACACAGATTTCACACTTCTTAACAGTACCAGGAGCAGGCGTGTACCAAGCATATAGAGAACCCTTGCTACCCTTCCTCCTCCTTTCACTCCCCTGAGGATGTGGATGAAGATGCCCTGTAGGAATCACCTTACCCCTTAAAGACCAGAAAATTGCCGACTTCTTATGAAAGTTGCCTCGTACCCTCAGCTGGAGAGCTTTAACCGATCATAGTTACCGGTTCTCATGAGCAATTACATCGCAGAATGTTTGCAAATTACGAAAATAAAGCCCTCTATTGTGAACCAACAATGTCTTTGAAACGAATTTAAATATACGATATGTGATGCAAATTATGCAGACGATACAACCTACTAACTGTGCATGAGCAACGTAGCTACGGTTTTTTTCGTGTGCTAAAGCGACAAGACTTGAGACGGTTGCTGTTTGTTTGTTCAAAGATAAAAGTTCCCACTAAAGTGTTCTACCTTCAGACTGGTTTCCATGAATTTAGCATAAGTTTACTACGGCTGTAACGAGATGGAAATGAGGAAGGTGAAAAGAAAGGCACAAAAAGCTTTTTGTCACCGAATATGATTCGAGAGAGGCGTTAGAGTTCGTTAAAGAAAGATGTAGAGCAGGCCATGAAACATTTGTTTAATCTAGCGTTGCGGTCAACGGAAAATGTTTGAGCCATCCTGTCCACGGGCTTCGGCAATAGTGTTGCTGTTTTTACGGTCTTAGTTCTGGGGAGGAAGGGAGTGAATCCAAGGAAGGTTTCTGATCTCCTCCCTGGTTGGTGAGTAATCGAATGACAGGGTACTTTCACCTGCGACAAGAAGGGATACACTTTAAGTTCTTGATTGACACCGGCTGACGCCATCGTCATTCGAGGAATAACGAAGCGCTTTCCTGAAACTGAGAGATTTTCTTGGCCATCGAATCCTTCCCTGGGTGGTTGCTGCCGTCCTAGGTTGGGGACTACACTTGGGAAGAAACTGAAGATGGCAAAAGCCGCTAGAACCTTGAAATATTTTGAATCAGCGACGAGCAGCGAATCAATGAAAGTGGTTTCAGAACCCTATCTTAAGGAAAAATCGCGGTAACACAATCTGCTGGTAACGTTTCCATTGTTTCCTTGTAAAGGTCTCTCGCTTGACAGGCTTTTCGTTTATCTTCACTCTCTGCCATCGATACTCTCTAACCGCCTCCTTGATTTTTTCATCGCAAAATGAATGAACTCTTGGAAAGAAAGTCGATTTGAGTGCTCATTCAGCACTCTCCCAGCTGTACTTAAAAGTTATCACTAATTATAAACATGCGCCAAGAGTGTGCGACTACAACAAAAGAAAGGTGTCGCATCCAATACCGACAAGATTATTCTATAATGAATTACAAATCGTCTTTTGAACTAACGAGGCTAAGATTCCAAGAAAAAAAGGAAAACGCTTATTGCTAAAGGTTCAAATACTGACACGTTCTGAAAATAGGGAAGTTCTCCTCTCCAGATCACTGCCAAAGCTAAAGATGTTTTGAGAGGAAGTTCATCGTAGTCGGTCAGTTAGCATATCATAATCCATGAACTACACATTCTCATTGTGCATTATAAACACTATTGACAAAAGAAGCTGTTGAACATCCTGAATTTTCCTGTTCTGAGGCAAAGTAAACAGAGCTTGAAATTTGTTTTCTTTATGGTGACTGATTCGTCTACCATTTCATATCGAAGGGCGCTGAGAGTGAAAATGTTCCGTTGGCTCTTGCCTTGCAAAATCACAGAATAAATATACTAACCAGGTCATGAAAATGGTAACCTGGTTTAAATAGATTGCTTCTGCATCGGAATTTCAGTGAAAGTTTGAGACTTAAGTTAAGCTCGATCGTGTAATTTCCCATATTTTCCTAGCGTTTCTAACACTTTTCGCTTGTACTGAAAACACTTTCTACAGAGTCAGTGAGCAGCAACAAAACCAAACTGCTGTGCCCTACAAGCTCGATACTGTAAAGATGGGGAGTAAAACTCGCAACAAAAATCTTTCTTTGTTTAATACGGAAAAGATGGACAAAGATGGTTTACTTATCGATTTTTGAATGAAAAAGGTTTTTCTTTTCAATATCAAAGTCAACTGTTTATCTATCTACCTAACAGCAGAAAAACTCTTTTTTAGGCCTGAAATGAATTGCAATGTAGTTTTTTTTATTCAAACTAAATATTCGATAAAGATGGAAAACAAATTTTTCAAAGTAAACTCCTTCACAAATGAAATTGGTACGAAACAGTCATTATTTCTCACCAGGTTGGGGGGATTTTGAGGGGATCGCAAGGTTTCTAGGGGGAACAGGGGGGAGGGGGGAGTTTGTCGTTAGTATTAAAGTTTCCAGGCGGAAATGTAGAAAATTGACTGCCAATAAACTGCAATTGGGGGAACAAATATGGAGGAAATCCTAAGAACTACCTTAATCTCGATACATTGATCATAAGCCTGCCAGAATTTTTAATTATCACAAGACTGAGTTTTTATCAAAAGCAAATTTTGAAAAAAAGTGACTTCTTTTGCGCAAGCTCTAACTACTGGGGGACAAATTTGGTGTTTTGGATTCCTGATAACACAATCATGATCAAATTTGACAGTAATGACGTGGTAGAGCTGCCTCGTCCCCCCCCCCCCCCCCCAATATTTATTTTCCCATTTAGCATTCAATATCGACAAGGTTACTTCATATTGAATTACACGTCATCTTTTCGATAAGCCAGGCTAAGGATACAAGAAATTAAAAAAAATCCTTGAAAAAAAAGGTTTGTCCCATAAATACTGCTTGATTCTAGAACCGAAAGATTCAAGGGATACATTATTAGGAAAAATAGTTCTGATGAAAGGAAACTTTGTAATTATGCGACTGATGACATTTCGCTAGTTAAAATGATAATTAGGTAAACTTAGTCTCGTCAGTAGCTTTTGAATAATTGCGGTACAGTGTTTTGATCTACGCTTGCAGTCAACTGCTTTTTTTCATTTCAAACTTGCTTACAGTAAATGGCGACGTCAC